ATCGGCGGTGGCCGTGTTTTCTCTTTTAAGTAACGATAACCAGCCTACGATTAAATATCATGATTGGCAGGCCCATAAGAACCAAATATAAGGTTAACACAAATTATGCTTGAGAAGACTAAGGAGAATGTCGGCAATGTCCACCAACGCAAACGTGCAAATGTGTCCCAACACTATGCGACGTACATTCGCGCTGAATATAAACAATCAAAATGCCGACTCTATTTCATCGTCATTACAATACGCGAGAAAGCGTAAAAAGTCGTTTAAAGATTCCGGTAAAACGAAACACCGTGTTTACGGCGAAAAGTGACTACTATTCGTAATTATTCGGAAATGAGCCGAAAAGGTATTCGAATACTTTGATATTCGAATAATTTCGAATATTCGATTCGTTTTGGACAACTCTGGTTGCACACCCCTGTATAAGCATATGGACATTTTCGGAAACTAGTGACGAACGCTTTGAATTAACGACATCCACTTTCTTGTTGAATGTACTCGTATCGCATCGTGCGTATGCGATCCATGTGGTAGCTCCCCGATCGCAGATGATGCTTCTTTGTTTATAATATCTTAGTAGAAGTTTGACACTGAAAGTTATAATATCTTATAATATCTTTATAATATCTTAGTAGAAGTTTGACACTGAAAGTTTTGTCACATAAATAGCATTTATAACGGAATCGGTTTTACTTAATAGAGAAGAAGCGTCGGGACGTAACTTTCTTAAATACGTCATGCTGCGGTTAATTTTGGCAGGTTAACGGTTAAAGTGTTTTCTCTAAAATTCCCAGCCTTAGTGATATTATGAATTCACGATTAAAATGATAAAGACAAATGATAAAGGCAATAATTTTGTTAGAATTTCTTTTGGGAGGATTCGCTGTGGGCGACAGTCAGGTGCCTCGAGCCAAGCAAACGTTTCAAAACCTCTTATTTTGCTTGCTGCACTCTTAACTTGCTTGCTCGCCTGCTTTTTTTTCCTTACTCGCTCTTTGCGCCCCATCCTCACTGACTGCTTTTTTTCACTTCTTGCTTGCTCACCGACTGGCCTTTCCCCTCTTCCACGGCCCCATCCGTACACAGGGTGTCTTTCCTGCTCCGCGGTGGAGTTTTCACGACTGCCCGACTTCCTCCTTCACGCACCCATACTGCCGACTTTGTTTTTCAGTTGCTCGCTGCGGGCCCCATCCTTAACAACTCTTGCTTGCCCGTCACTTCTGCTCAAGGTGTCAGACTGCCCGACCTTCCCCCCCCACATATTGCCGACTTTGTTTTTCAGTAGCTCGCTACGGCCCATCCTTAAACAGAGCCGCTTGCCCGCCATTCACTTGCTGCCACCAACCCTCCTCCTTTGTTTTTCAGTTGCTCGCTACAGGCCCCCACCCGCTCGCTACGGCCCATCCTTAAACAGGGCCGCTTGCCCGCCATTCACTTGCTGCCACCAACCCTCCTCCTTTGTTTTTTAGTTGCTCGCTACAGGCCCCCACCCATCCTTAACAGCGCTTGCTTGCCCGTCACTTCTGCTCAGGGTGTCGGACTGCCCGACTTTCCCCCCATATTGCCGACTTTGTTTTTCAGTTGCTCGCTACAGCCCATCCTTACAGGGCCGCTTGCCCGCCACTCACTTGCTACTACCTACCACCACCCTCCTCCACGGTCTATTTGCTGGCTGCAACTCTCACTGTTGTGTTGGGCTGGCTGGCTCACTTGCTCACTTTCCTCCTCCACGCCCCTGGCTGCAACTCTTGGAGGCTTGGCCCCCCTGGCTGCAACTCTTGGAGGCTTGGGCCTTCACGCCCATATGGTCTTCACTTGGTCACCAGACTTGCTTGCTTTCCTCCCCCACGCCCACTGGGCACCGTCGGACGATTTCAGTTACTAAGTATGTCTCTCGCACATACACACGGCCACATCCGTAACAGCTCAGCTCTTCCTCGACGCCCCATATTGCCTTTCTTCCCCCACGCCCACTGGGTCTTACAGCTCTGGTCTACCTCTCCTCTTCGGTACTCATCTGCACTCAGACTGTTGGACGATTTTTCCTCCTTTTTTTTTCTCCTCCTCCTCCACGTCTCTCTTTTGCACACACTGCTAGCCGACTGTCTTTCCTCCTTCACGCCTAATCCTTACAGCTCAGCGGTCTAGTGCTTCCATACTCAGCTGCACTCTCTGTTGGCTGGTCTTCACTGGCTCGTCGATTGCCTTTCCTGCACTTTCCTCTTCTCACTTGCACTTCTGCCGCTATCCCCCGTTATTGCTTATTTATATAACTCCTGGCTCAACTGCTGGCCTATGCTCATACCTCAGTCTACCTTGTGGGATTCGAACCCCTGGCCTGATGTTTGACCATGTTCCTACGCTTCCCATGCGCCACCGCTTCTGACGAGGATCGCGTTAATTAGAATATTACTTAATTAACGACGCCACGCTTGGCAGCCCACGACTAGACTGCCCCGCGAAAATTACATTGAACATACTGTAAACCTGCAAACCAAATTTCTGACTCCGAATGGAAGAATAATAAGACCGGAAGACGGTTCATCAATTTGATCTTTTTTGTCTTCAGTGCCAACTGACCGTCTGATCTATGGTTTACTGTTTCTTAATTTATGAAACATCTAAGTTAAAAATTGTCTTGGCGTCATGCTTCTTTACAAATTGAAACAATATTATACACATTAGAAATAAAACGAAAAACACCGTAAATTTTGTTTTAAAAGCCCCGCGACAGGTGAAGGTGCTACCGCAGCCAGTAAAGATGAAACGCAGTAAATTGCGCCTGGGATGTACCTTTCTATTCATTCTTAGGCCATACGTCACATTTCCCCAGATTATGATGAAAAATATACGCTAATCAATGCAGGTTTGAACGCTGTGGGCGTAATCACACGTGAAAGGATTCCAAGGCGCAAGATAAATTGCGTAGCCCATGGGTCGACAACCTGCGGCCCACGGAGTAAAATAATCCGGCCCGCGACGCTTCACTGAATCATGGCGACAAAACGGATCAAGCATGTACCCGACGATTTGTGTTCAGGCAGAACCCTGGATTCTTTTATTTCAGACCTGTTATATGATGGAAAAGGGGTTTTCATCTGTGACACTCTTACTATCAAAACAACAAAATCGCCTTTCCGTCAGGGGTGATTTGAGATTGTGCCTGACGAAATGTCACAAAATATTAAAAAAACTCGCTGAAGACGACCAAGCTCATTCATCTCGTTAAAAACACTATTAACTATGATTTTTTTTGTTTATTTGGTCTGTAATATATACGTTTCTGATTTTGCATTTTTTTTAATAGCGCCGGGGTCGATGAAGTTATTTGGCACGTGAATGAGGACTCGGAAACGAGATCATTCTCCCTCAGATAAAAAGTTTCAAGACTCTGAATTATCTGATGAAACTAGGTTTTCGTTTATTTATTATCGTTTGTTAACAATCCGTTATTTATTTAAACTCTTTTAGTTCTTTCATGACATACGGTTACAAAGAAATATATTATGACATAACAACTGAGTGAGCTGTCGACAAATGTAGTCGATTGCTTTGTATAAAATAGTTCGTCTATGCCACCATTTTCCCTCGCTTGATGCTTCTGCTTGAGTTGTACAGCTCATGTTGATTAGAGTTACTTGCCAACTCACTGTTATAAATTGATTTAGAAAGAAATATAATCGATTAGGAAAGGGAATACAAGAGAGAAGTGCAGAAAACGAACTATAGCGCGATTGGGATGCCATTCCCGAAAATATTTCGTAGCCTAAAAATTTTGCAACTGCATTTCTGTCCGTGTTTTATCCTACATAAACTTGGATCTCTGTTCTCAGCTATAAACTTTATTTAGTCTCGCAACATAAGTAGCCTAAAACATGAAATCAGTATGTCGTGTATTTCTTTAAACGTTACAAAATATAAACCCAATGTCCAATCTCTATCAGCGGTAATGCAGCAGTAGAGGTCTCACTGATACCGTGTCTTCCCGAAAATAAGACCTACCCTGAAAATAAGACCTGGACTGAATTTTTAAAATGATTTCAATATAAGCCCTCCCCTTTAAATAAGACCTACTCAATAACGCGAATTTGTTTATTTAATCGATAGCAAGAAATCTCTCTTACACGTTTTAAATGATTAATAATCTATGTTTTGCAGTTATTTCGAATAAAAATGTGTTATTTATAAGTAAATGAATATCGGTTTTCTTATTATATATATTGAAAAATCTCGCAATTCTCTACTTTGTAATTTTGTTTTTGATAAATGAAAATATAAGACATCCTCCGAAAATAAGCCCTCACTCCCTTAATGAGGTTCTGGTTGCACCCCTGGTTTCAACCGTTCAAAACTTTGGGATTTGACGAAATTCCCTGAGTAATAAAAGGGTTCTCTGATGGCTTGAAATGGTTACGAATCACTGATTTAAGAGTTGGCTAAATTTGGGCTTCCAAAACTTTTACAGTTCGATTTAAGCCCAGCGCTTCTCTGATGCTATGCAACGTTTTAAAATAGTTGGATTTATACGTTTTATTAGTTTTGATAGTTGTGTTTTGAATTAATTACTTCGTTGCTGTGTCTCATCTGCGGTGTCGCAACTCCATTTTGGGTATAGCTCTGCCCTAAATCGAGTCTTTATCAATTGTTACCATCGGTCTGAGAAATTAAACATGACTTTCACATGTAACTTGATTATATTGTTATGTATGTTATGTCTCCAACGTTTGGTTTGGACAGAGAAATTAATGTAAATTGGGCATTCAAACAATCACAAGTAATATTAAGCAAATACTAAATGTCATTTGCATTGTTTATGTTTTGTGATCACGTGTCAGAAGCGTGATCCGCTTGTTGCGATTCAGGGTTGTTGGATCCTGGAATAACGGGACTAATTAAAAACGTTTAATTACAAAGGACTAATTAGCGTTTTCGTCCACTCTTCGCGCGGAAAGAACAAGCGACAACGCCCCAGTAGCAAATCTACATGATGGAGTGCGGTCGATTTTGTGTGTGTTATGGTTGGTTCTGGAATATTACTTTTATCAGTTTGTCTCTTTGTAACAATATTCAGGTGAGCTAAATATTAACAAGTGTTTGTAAAGCCGTTATATGGTTTCCGTAAAACTCTATATTTTTCATTGATTTGGTTAATGTTGTTGTTTACTATCTTAATTTTTGTACGTATTGCTTTTCATAAACTGATTTCTCAATCTTTTTTGTTTGAAATTACAATTTCCTATCATTTTCAATATGAACTAAAAATCTAAACATACCTGAGACTCTTTCTAAATTGACGAGTTAGCGAAAGATACAAAGGTAATACAATAGCTCTGTGGTTTCATTCATCAGATATTCGATATTTTCTCAGGAGTCCTCGCATATTATATATATCCTAGAATTCAGTGATTCTCACACTTTTTAAGTCGCGACCGATATAAGTCACTACGTAAGCTGCATTTCACATGGCACGCTTTACATCAATGTAATATAGATAACTTTCGCACCTCAAATATAACACCAAATCCATGGATTTATATATACTTGGCTTTTTTACTTTTATATATTACTTATTGTGGATAGAAGTATTCCCATTCCCGCATTAGAAAGTTCTGCAACAGTTTATTATTAATATCCTAACTTTTCAGATGCAGAACTGTTGTTGATGTTGAAATTGAAGATGCGACGACACGATGTAACAAAACCGAGGGAAAATCTACAGGTAATATTCATACATTTTATTTGACTTTTCGACATCCATGGATTCCCGTAATCAATATGGTAATTCCACATACTTAACAAAGGTAATAAGTCATATATTCCATAAACAGTTATAAAAGCGTCATTGGACAGTTTCTTGTCGTAATAATTGTACCCCGTTATATAATTCGAAAACTGCGAGTAGTATCTTATGAAATTAAATATCTGCAGATATCTGTGACTGTAGAGAGGATTCTCATAAGAAGGTGAATTATAACATAATTGTTAATAGTTTACTCGTCATTTACAAGATGAGGTGCAACGCAATGTACGTACAGATCATTCCAAATAAGTAATATTTCATAAATTTAGGGAAAACCTCTGAATTATTTGCAGGGATGTATCTACGCAAAGTTTAAAAATGCGACCCCTTGATGGTTGGATCACAATTTCGAAGAGCTGTTGTTGAATTGAGATACTCGTACGTTATTATTTTGGTAAAAATACGACGGTCATGTCACATACATTTATTTTCAGCTTTCTCAAACACTTGTTGAAAGTTGACAAGGCAGTATACTACTTCATCAATAGGAGAAATTCGTCTCAGTAAGATAGAAGCCTATCGAGTCTGACCAGCAAAGCAAGTAGGTAATCGACATTAATCTTAATCGTACAATTAGGTTCAATCTAAGGATCGTTGGTTGGTTGAACAATTTTTCCGGTCAAAAACAAAACACTCCCCCCACAAATCCTCAATAAGAAAATTATTAACTACTCTGTTAAGATTTGGGTCCATAATGAAGATTGCGCTGGGAATTCAAATTTTAAAATTGTTCCTGACCCTAACTAGTTACTGATTGGCTATTTTAAAACTTGGCGGAGGTGTTTTTATCAAGTCTCATATTCTGGGGTACTCCTGAAGTACACGTACCATGGCGGACACCGGAACGTAGTATGTGTACCAGGTTAGGGTTAGGCTATGATTTTATTGCAATTTTCCTTATTTTAGTTCTTTTAGGAGTTCTGGGACTAGCCATGTGACTCCCGTAGTATTTGTACCTAAAATTATGGCCTAACTCTAACCTGGTACACATATTATGGTGTCCGCCATCTTGGTACGCATACTTCACAAGCGCCCATTTTTGCATTATTGTCGAGTGCTTTTTACAAAATATTCCAATCTAATATGCTAAAATGCGCTGTTCGCCTTTTTACTACATGTTACACCTTGTTCAATTTTTATTTTCATCGTATATACCTCGCAAATAACAAAGATTATTTAATAAAATAGCGCAGAAAAGGTTGTTTGGTGAAGTCATGATAGGAGTCTTACGCTGGTCACAAAATATTATGTGTGAAAGGGAAAAACTGACTTTGATTTGTGACTATAGCTTGTACTCGGAAATTTCGAGGCGTGGACAGACAAATACTTCATAAATTTTTGAGCCCGAAGTTGAACAGGACCTGTGCGCGTTCAAAAACAAAAAACGGCCGGGAAATTTGATTGTTTGAATCAGGCTATAGCTCTAGTGTACCATCGTATGCCAATTGCTATTTGTATAGCCGGGATCTATCTTGGTATACACCTGTTTATTTATGGTATATCCGGTTGAATATAACTGCACTAAAAGATCACTCCAAGCAGGTAATTTTGGGGGAAATCTGCGACAAATTATCTTTTTTGTATATTTAGTATAAGCTTAAATTATAGCAGATAAATTGCATTTCGTCGTTCCCCTTTTCGCCAGTTTGCGCGCTTATATTTATTTAAGGCCAAATCTGTTAGAACCAGACTATTTTATTTCGTCGAATCGCACTTTGGAGTTGACTATTTTGTCCCACATACCCGTAATTTAGCGTTGAAAAGGTAGCAAAAATCATTCTAAACAACCCTTTAACTGAAGCAATAACCCGTGAATATGGCGTAATGAGCCCGACACTGTCTATAACGGTATTTTTTTAAACTTGGTTTGATTAAACCGAACCTGAAGGTCCTCCTCTGAAATAATTTTACGAAATCTTTCCTTTACTCAGCTTTTTACTTATGTAAAATTTACTATATTCCACTACAGATATCTAACTTCCACGTTTAGCTGCTTACCTTCATTTTGAATTCGTGATAAGGCAGGAATTATTTTTTGTAACAATTTAGGATTAAAACTTTTCACTCTTTTTGCACCGCAATCCTAAGTCGTCAATGGTAGGAGCTATAGCTGTCACACCCTAAATACGCCACTGATAATTTGAGAATAAACTAAAAATAAATTTATTTTCAGCTTTCCCCAACACTGATTGAAAGTTAGCAAGACAGTACATCATTTCATCAAAAGAATTGCTTCGTCATTTGCCTGGTATTCATAACTGATTGAGATAGACGCCTATCGAGTCTGGTCAGAAAAGCAAGTATGTAATCGAAATCTTTTTAATTCTTTCAATATAATTTGCATATTTAGGTTCAATCTAAGAATCTTTTGCACAACCCCTATAGATTGCGATGGAAATTAAAAAATTTCAATTTGTTTTTAACCCTAACTAGATAGTTACTAATTCAAAACTTCACCTTTGTGTTTTTATTGAGTGTCACATTTTTGCTTTAGTGTAGAAGTTTTTGTAAATAACAAAGGGTATTTAATATTATAAATTGGAAAAAGGAGTTGTTTTGTGAAATCATGACAGAAGTCTAACTCTTGTCACAAGATATTATGTGTGCTATATTACTGCTAACAAAAAACGTAAAAATTGACGTTGATTTATAACTATAGCTTTTGCTTAGAAATTAGCGAATAACGTAGCTGTAGAGTTTTCGGTACTCCCGAAGTATGTGTAGCAATATGGCGGACACCAGAACGTAGTATGTGTACCAGGTTAGGGTTAGGCCATAATATAGTTCCCTTATTTTATACCCTTATTTTAGTTCTATTACGTGCTCGGGGACTATCCGAGTGACTTCCGTAGTATTTGTAATTTTTTGGGAAATCTGCTTCAAATTTGATTCTTATATATTAAGTATATGCTTATCTTATAGCAGAAAAATTGCGTTTCTTTGTTCGTCTTTTCTATAATTTAAGCAACAGCGCGCGCCTATAAATTTTCTATGGAAAGTCTGTTAGAACCAGACCATTTTCATTTTGTAGAATCGCACTTTAGACTATTCTGCCCAACATACCCGTAATTTAGCGTTAAAATGTAGCAACAATCATTCTAAACAACCCTTACTGGAGCAATAACGAATGAATATGGCGTAATGAGCACGACACTGTCTACAACGGTGTTTAATAAACTGGGTTCGATTAAATCGAACCCCTGGGGTCGATCTGTTCCAGGTGTTCTATGAAGGTCCTCTGAAATAATTTCATGCCATGAAGTCTTTCCATTACCTGGTTTTTTACTTATGTAAAATTTTCTATATTCCACCACAGATATCCAAACTTCCACGTTTAGCTGTTTAATTTGGAATTATTGATTAGTCACAATAAGAGTTTCAATTATATCTAATTTAAAATTATTTATTTTATTAATTTACGATTTGAGGTTTTCACTCTTTTTGCGTCGCAATCCTAAGCTAAATACACCTCTGATAATTTTAGAATGAATTAAAAATACATTAATTTTCAGCCTCTAAGAGACTGCTTGAACGTTAGAAAGACAGTTCATCAATTTCATCAGAAGAATTTCGTCGTGGTAATTTGACTGGTATTTATCACTGAGCAAGATGAGAGCCTATCGCGTCTGGCCAGCAGAGCAAGTATGTAATCGAAATCTTTTGAGTAATTCAATACCATTTGCATATTTAGGATCAACTTAACGATCTTTTGTACACCCCCTCCCCCGGCAAAAATAAAACACCCCCGCTATCGTTCAGAATAATAAATTAGTAATTATTCCGTCAGGGTTTGGGTTAGAAATGCAGATTCTTCTGGAAATATGAATTTACACTAACTAGATAATTACTTATTTTTAAAACTTGGCGCAATTATTTATCAAATATCACATTTTTGCATCGGTATCAAGTGCTTTGTACAAAATAATTCAAGCTAATATACTGAAATAGTGCTCTTGAACCTTTTACTACGTGGTACCTATTTTTCAATTTTTATTTTCTTTGTATGTACCTTGCAAACAACGAATAATATAAAATAGAAAAAAGTTGTTTAGCAAAGTCACGACAGAAGTGTTACTCTGGTAACAAGATATTATGTGTGCTAAATTAACAAACCACGTCAAAATTAACGTTGATTTGTGACTATAGATTGTACTCAGAAATAACGTAGCCGCAGACTTTTTCCGCGTATCTCTCCGCAAATAATTATTTTATTTGCGTATTATGGTTTCTACTCGCTCATGTAATTCATCACGCATAATTTGTGGCCGTGGATAGATAAACTTCCACGTTTATCTGTTTAATTTAAAATTCGTTATATGGCACAAATATTTTATTGTAACAATTTACGATTAGAACTTTTCATTCTTTTTGTGCCGCAATTCAGAATTGCCAATGGTAGGAGCTATACCTGCCATACCCTCGATATACGTCACTGATAATTTGAGAATCAACTGAAAATACATTTAATTTCAGTTTTCTAAGACACTGCTTGAAAGTTAGAAAGACAGTACATCAATTTCATCAAAAGAAATGCCTCGTCATTTGTCTGGTATTCATCACTGAGCAAGATGAAAGCCTATCGAATCTGGCCAGTATGCAAAGCAAGTATGTAATCGAAATATTTTGATTTTTTTTCAAAGTTTGATTTGCATATTTAGGTTCAATCTAAGAATGTTTTGCGCAACCCCCTATAGATTGCGGAGGAAAATATTTAATTTTTAATTTGTTTTTAACCCTGACTAGATAGTTACTAATTTGTAACTTAGTGTCGAAGTTTTTGTACAAAAGATCCCAATCTATCATACTAAATATTGCTTTTAAACCTTTTACCACGTGTTACATATTTTTCAATTTTATTTTCGTATGTACCTCGCAAATAACAAAAATTATTTAATAATATAAAGTAGAAAAAGGTTGTTGAGTGAAGTTATGACAGAAGTTACTTTGGTCGCAAATATTATGTGTTCTAAATTACTGGCCCAGGGTTGTCCAAAACGAATCGAATATTCGAAATTATTCGAATATCAAAGTATTCGAATACCTTTTCGGCTCATTTCCGAATAATTACGAATAGTAGTCACTTTTCGCCGTAAACACGGTGTTTCGTTTTACTGGAATCTTCAAACGACTTTTTACGCTTTCTCGCGTATTGTAATGACGATGAAATAGAGTCGGCATTTTGATTGTTTATATTCAGCGCGAATGTACGTCGCATAGTGTTGCGACATATTTGCACGTTTGCGTTGGTGGACATTGCCTACATTCTTCTTAGTCTTCTCAAGCATAATTTGTGTTAACCTTATATTTGGTTCTTATGGGTCTGCCAATCATGATATTTAATCGTAGGCCCGTTATCGTTACTTAAAAGGGAAAACACGGCCACCGCCACCGAGATAAAGTAAGTGATTTATGACCCTTTGGTTTTGCCGATTCAGCAGAAAATGACAGGGACATGAAACACAGCTGTGAAATAACCCGTGGATGTACCGTGTGGAACTTATCACATTCCAAAATTATTTCAACATTCGGGTTGATAGGTTGTGCAAAATGATTGCCGCTTTATAATTTAAATTTACCGCTTCGTTGTTGAGAATAGTTAATTCCGTGAGTATGGTTCTACCAAACAAACATGATCTGGTTCTGTTCTGACTCTATAAAATTATAGATTGTTCAAAATGATTGTGATTTTTAACTTAAAATTACCGCTTTATTGTTGAAAATAGTTAATTCTGTGAGTATGATTCTACTAAACAAACGTGATCTGGTTCTAAACATTATTATTAGCGCATATTAGCATAACTGAACAACAGGGAACAATTTTTCTACCCGTCTTCTTGGAGGCCTATATGGAAAACCCCCTTATTTTGAGTGCTAAAAATATACATCGTCCTATTTGCCATGTAGACTTATTAGCCGGGAAATACGGTATTTATAGCCGTAATTGTTACGATATCCAATAAATTGTCACAAGTTGGGAAACAGGTTGATTTATTAGAAAAATACTTTCACCCGCTTTCTTGCAAATAATTTTGATAATGATGGTCAAAAGTATCGATAATGAAAGTATTAATACCAAATACTACGGTTATTTGTGGGCATGAAATGTGTGGTAAACTGCCCAATTATAATTAATTTCGGATTCGTATTTACAAAATATTAAATCTATTATAACTAAAAAATACAACGGCGATTTGTGGACTTGAATGTGTAATAAAGTATAAATTATTTTTCCGACTTGTGACAATTTTTTCGTGAGCACGAAAATAAGAATCAAAAATTAATTATATTCGGGCACAATATCACGGCATTCTGTGGACATAAATTGTGAGGCAAACTCGCGATTGATATTTTTTGATTCCTATTTTCGTATTTACAAAATACAACGGTGATCTGTGGACATTGAATGTGTGGTAAACTACCGGATTATAAATAGTTTTCGTATTTATAAAATAATAAAAGTATTATTACACAAACCTACAACGGCGATCTGCGGACTTAAAATGTGTGGTAAAGTTCCCAAATATAATTACTTTTTGATTCGTATTTTTGTACTCACGAAAAAATTGTCACAAGTCTGAAAAAGAACTCATACTTTATCCCGCTTTTTGACAAATAATTTGGATAATGGTTGGTATTTAAAAGTATGAGCGTTTTACTAGGATGATTTTGTGTTGCGCAAGCATTCAAATCCATCACCGATACCACTATTTAAAATGCCTTGTCGTATTATTTTAATTCTGTTAATTAACACAACTCATGTTATATAAAATATATATCGCAATAATCTGCAAACATGAAATGCCTGGTAATATAGCCAGGTTGTAAATAGAAGTTTTCCCATTGTTTATTGTATGAAAATTCCTTCTTACACTTAGATTCTATTACTGGATTTTAATTTCGAAGTATTCGAAATTTCATATTCGAAAATAATAATTTCGAATGTATTCGAAATAGTGAACTATTCGGTATTGGCCATCCCTGATTACTGCTAACAAAAAACGTAAAAATTGACGTTGATTTATACCTATAGCTTTTGCTTAGAAATTAGCGAATAACGTAGCCACAGACTTTTCGGTACTCACGAAGTATGTGTACCAAGACGGCGGACACTGGAACGTAGTATGTGTACCAGATTAGGGATAGACCATAAATTTGTTTCAATATTCCTATTTTAGTTATATTACGAGTTTGGGTACTAGCCGAGTGTATTTCCGTAGTATTTATAACGGAAATTATAGCCTAATTCGAGAGTACTGTCTTTTTTGTATATCTCTTCAACGATAATACTTTTTGTTTGATTTCGTATACAGCTGGGTATGTATAACCCGTTAAATATCACTGCACTAAAAGATCATTCCAAATAAGTAATATTTGTAATTTTTTGGGAATTCTGCGGCAATTTTTTTTTCGAGTATAAGCTTATCTTATAGCAGAAAAATTACATTTCTTCGTTCGTCTTTTGTTTAGTTCAAGCAACAATGCGCGCCTATAAATTTTCTATAGCAAAGTCTGTTAGAACCAGACCATTTTCTTTTTATTTTTTTTAACTGGGTTTGATTAAACCGAACCCCTGGGGTCGATCTGTTCCAGGTGTTCTATGAGGATCCTCTGAAATATTTTCATGCCATGAAGTCTTTCCATTATCTAGTTTTTTACTTATGTAAAATTTTCTATATTCCACCATTGATATCCAAACTTTCACGTTTAGCTATCTAATTTGGAATTAGTGATTAGGCACAATACTAGTTTCAATTATTTCCAATTTGAAATTATTTATTGTAACAATTTAGAATTAGAACTTTTCACTCTTTTTGCGTCGCAGTCCTAAGTTAAATACACCTCTGATAATTTTAGAATGAACTAAAAATACATTAATTTTCAGCCTACTAAGAGACTGCTTGAACGTTAGAAAGACAGTACATCGATTTCATCAAACGAAACTCGTCGTGGTCATATGTCTGATATTCATCACTGATCAAGATGAGAGCTTATCGAGTCTGGCCAGCAGAGCAAGTATGTAATCGAAGTTTTTTGATTCCTTCATTTTCCTTTGCATATTTAGGATCAATTTAGGGATCTTGGGTACACCCCTTTCCTCGGTAGAAACAAAACATCCCCTCTAACGTTCAGATAATAAATTAATAATTATCTTGTCAGGGTTTGAGTTAGAAATGCAGATTGCGCTGGATATAAAAATTTACTAATAAATAGTTTCTATCCCAAACTAGATAATTACTTATTTGTTTTTTAAAACTTGACACATGTGGTTTTTATCAAATTTCACATTTCTGCATTAGTTTTGCGGGCTTTGTACCAAAGATCCAAATCTAATACACTAAAATAGTGATCTTTTCATTTTCAGCTTTCTAAAGGACTGCTTGAACCTTAGAAAGACAGTACATCAATTTCATCAAACGAAACTCGTCGTGGTCATTTGTCTGATATTCATCACTGATCAAGATGAGAGCTTATCGAGTCTGGCCAGCAGAGCAAGTATGTAATCGAAATCTAGTTTTTCAATCTCATTTGCATATTTAGGATCAATTTAAGGATCTTTCAACACCTCCTCTCCCGGTAAGAACAAAACACCCCCGCTAACGTTCAGAATAATAAATTTGTAATTATTCCGTCAGGGTTTGGGTTAGAAATGCAGATTCCGCTGGAAATATAAATTTACACTAGCTAGATAATTACTTATTTTCAAAACTTGGCGCAAGTATTTCTCAAATATCACATTTTTGCATTGGTGTCAAGGGCTTTGTACAAAAGATCCGAATCTAATATACTAAAATAGTGCTCTTGAACCTTTTACTACGTGTTACCTATTTTTATTTCCTCTGTATGTACCTTGCAAACAACGAAGATTATTTAATAATATGAAATAGAAAAAAGTTGTTTAGCAAAGTCACGACAGAAGTATTACTCTGATAACAAGATATTATGTGTGCTAAATTAACAAACTACCTCAAAATTAACGTTGATTTGTGACTATAGATTGTGCTCGGAAATAACGTAGCCGCTGACTTTTTCCGCATATCTCTCCGCAAATAATTATTTTATTTGCGTATTATGGTTTCTACTCGCTCATGTAATTCATCATGCATAATTTGTGGCCGTGGATAGATAAACACATTCCACGTTTATCTGTTTAATTTTGAAATTCGTGATATGGCACAAATATTTTATTGTAACAATTTACGATTAGAACTTTTCATTCTTTTTGCGGCGCAATCCAGAATTGCCAATGGTAGGAGCTATCCTGCCATACCCTCGATATGCGTCACTGATAATTTGAGAATCAACTAAAATACATTCAATTTCAGTTTTCTAAGACACTGCTTGAAAGTTAGAAAGACAGTACATCAATTCATCAAAAGAAATGCCTCGTCATTTGTCTGGTATTCATCACTGAGCAAAATGAAAGCCTATCGAATCTGGCCAGTATGCAAAGCAAGTATGTAATCGAAATATTTTGATTTTTTTTCAAAGTTTTTTAGGTTCAATCTAAGGATGTTTTGCGCAACCCCTATAGATAAATAATTAATTTTTAATTTGTTTTTAACCCTGACTAGATAGTTACTAATTTGTAACTTGGTGTTGAAGTGTTTGTACAAAAGATCCCAATCTAATATACTAAAATATTGCTTTTAAACCTTTTACTACGTGTTACATGATTTTCAATTTTTTTTTCGTATGTACCTCGCAAATAACAAAAGTTATTTAATAATATAAAGTAGAAAAAGGCTGTTGAGTGAAGTTATGACAGAAGTCTTACTCTGGTCGCAAATATTATGTGTTCTAAATTACTGCTAACAAAAAACGTAAAAATTGACGTTGATTTATAACTATAGCTTTTGCTTAGAAATTAGCGAATAACGTAGCCACAGACTTTTCGGTACTCACGAAGTATGTGTACCAAGACGGTGGACACTGGAACGTAGTATGTGTACCAGATTAGGGTTAGACCATAATTTTGTTTCAATATTCCTATTTTAGTTATATTACGAGTTCGGGGACTAGCCGAGTGTATTTCCGTAGTATTTATAACGGAAATTATAGCCTAATTCGAGAGTACTGTCTTTTTTGTATATCTCTTCAACGATAATACTTTTTGTTTGATTTCGTATACAGCTGGGTATATAGAATAACCAGGGGCGCAGCCAGGATTTTTCCAACGGTGGGTTACGGTGAAATTGAAACAGTGAAGCAAAAGTGCAATTCACGACGACGTATGGCGTTTAATAAACTGAAAAGTATGCGTCCTTCACAGCGAAATTCCACAGTTACTTGTAGCCCGCCTCTCTTTGCCTGACGGTGTTTGGTGATTATTTTGCAAGTCCTATTTCAAACATCGACCATTAATCCGTAGTCAGCGGGTACCCGCATTTAGAAATAAAACATTAAAAATCGCGAAAACTAATTTTGGAGAGAACTTAGTACAAAAACACGCTCGCATATAGCGCCGATCAAATTCGTGAAATGTGAAACTATTACCAGGAATTTATTGTCAATGAAGTTGATTTTTTATTGCCATTCAATGATTATTTACATGCGCCGTGGTTAGTGGCGGGCAAAATCGTATTTATTATTCAACTCATATTTTAAACGAACACCGAATAATGAGTGTTGTCATTTCAAACAACATTAGTTGGGATGTCGGCCGCCGAAACGATCGCCGTGACAATAATTTTTTTTTTCGGATTTCACTAGAAGACTCCGTAACAATGCGGCGTTTTTTATTTCATAATTTTGTCATCATCGAAGGCTGCAGTGAATTTTTTGTCACCGCGATCGTTTCGGCGGCCGACACTCCAATTAACGTTGTTAAACTATTTTATTCACTAGCAAATATTAATTCTCAGCAACGGCGGATATCGTAGTTAGGTTTTTATATTTCTGACAGAATTGTGAGTTCGGCTAAGATGTTAAAAACAACTACTAAGGAGTGCATTCACAACACAGATTAATTTTATTGGACACGTTTAGTGGCCATAACGATCGTTTCAAAATTTTGTTGTCATTGTTATTGTTATTTGTCTCCGTCTCCATTTTTTAAAAAATCGCTTTTCTCTTCGAATACTGGACCAATTGCTTTGATATTCTCAGTGGTTGAAGATACAATTTTTCTCCAGATGGCTATTACTTTTTTTTTCGCTATGACGTCATCAAAATTATTGCCACTGGGTGGCGTGTCCATATATTTGAGCATAGCTCTCTTGTTTTATTCCGATTTTTATCTTCTGTGTAGGATTTGTATCACAGTCTGTAAATTAGGGTCCCAATTTTGAGCGAACAATATTGTCATTACTGACCGGGGATGCGATACAGTAGAAACTCTATCTACGAAAGGCTCTGAATACGAAAAATCCAACTTACGAAAATTATTTCCATAAAAATATTGAATCGACTAAGGTACAGCCGGCATGAAACGATTTCAATAAGCGCCGACTTGAAGTGCTTTATAAGATGTCGAGGATTTTTTGATTGAAAATGTTTTGAAAATATTATCGTAAATTTCAATTTAGTCCAGATAGTTTGTGCGTTCTCGGCAATAAATCTAAAAGCAAATTGTGACCTAATTAATTGTTTTCATCCTCAGTTTCGATAGTGACCGAGCATAACGGATTTTTTTTATTCTTGCAATTTACAGCGTATAAAATATCTCTTAGACATTATTTAGTATCTATCTCGCAGATTTTAACGTTATCCCCGACGTTGTTGATGGCAATTCGTTCAGTTTAAGTTGGCGGTATTAATTTGTAAGCAAAAGTAAAATCACAACAGCCGACATGAAATATTTAAATCAGCGCCGAGTCGAAAAATAAAACACGTTTTACGGTCTTAATTCTCCATCATTAGCGGATGAAAATTGGGAATCGAATTCACTCATTCGATTATGACGATGGTAAACAAACTTACCGTTCGTAATTTTCATTCGTTATTTCTCTGTTCTTCCTTCTTTCCACATGTACCTTTCTATTTATTATGCGGGGTTTAACCATTACTATAATTTGTACAATATCATGTCCGAGTTTTGTGTGTGCTTGGAACGGATTCGGGTATTTACATGTAAAACGCGTCCCTACTTATAGAATTTTCTACGTACGATGGCGCTCCCGGAACAAATTAATTTCGTAGGTAGAGTTTATTCTGCATTAGTGAATATTAGCTGATAGTTGACATTTATATGCTTTCAATTTTATATCGTGTCTGTGTTATTTTCAAAATAATTTGTCTTCCCAATATCTGAGAAATTTCTATAGTATTTATTATTCACCTGTCTTACTTATCTGATTCGACTTTCTAAATTTACAAAAACGGTGTTGACGCTATTTATGCAAAATTAGAAAGTGAAAAATATGAATAACACAAGATTTTTTCACATTCATCGTTTCTGTCTGTTATCGATAGCCGTATGTGAATTCTTACTCGAAACTCGTTGTAAATTAATGTAACGCAGTGATTTGTCGGAAAAGAAAGTCCGTGTTAATTAGCTTATAACCCTTCTCTCCTTTTGAGCGCTCACAACGGCGGTTGAACTCGTTTCATGGAGAAAGGAAAATACGCCTCACCGAATTGCAATCAACAATTACACATTCTTATTTATCGTTATCATCGCCAACTAAAAAAGATATAATATCGTAAGTACGACAAAATTCTGGCGGTACTAACTGCGCTACATTGATAACGCACAGAATAATATCGTTTTGACCGCGAAACCACGATGCGCGACAGTAAAACGCAGCTGTTGCTCTTTTGTGGAAATAATTTAGCTCAAATTTTTTCTCAAACGGGGGGGGGGGTTAAGATCCATGTAACCCTCCCGCTGGCTGCGCCCCTGAGTATAACCCGTTAAAAATCACTGCACTAAAAGGTCATTCCAAATAAGTAATATTTGTAATTTTTTGGGAATTCTGCGGCAATTTTTTTTTCGAGTATAAGCTTATCTTATAGCAGAAATTACATTTCTTCGTTCGTCTTTTGTTTAGTTCAAGCAGCAATGCGCGCCTATAAATTTTCTATAGCAAAGTCTGTTAGAACCAGACCATTTTCATTTCGTAGAATCGCATCGTAGAGATGACTATTCTGCCTAACATACCCGTAATTTAGCGTTAAAATGTAGCAATAAACATTCTAAACAACCCTTTAACTGGAGCAATAACCAGTAAATATGGCGTAATAAGCACGACATTGTCTATAATGGTGTTTTTTAAACTGGGTTTGATTAAACCGAACCCCTGGGGTCGATCTGTTCCAGGTGTTCTATGAGGATCCTCTGAAATATTTTCATGCCATGAAGTCTTTCCATTACCTGGTTTTTTGAGTCTTTCCATTATCTAGTTTTTTACTTATGTAAAATTTTCTATATTCCACCATTGATATCTAATTTGGAATTAGTGATTAGGCCCAATACGAGTTTTAATTATTTCCAATTTGAAATTATTTATTGTAACAATTTAGGATTAGAACTTTTCACTCTTTTTGAGTCGCAATCCTAAGCTAAATACACCTCTGATAATTTTAGAATGAACTAAAAAAAACATTAATTTTCAGCCTACTAAGAGACTGCTTGAACTTTAGAAAGACAGTACATCGATTTCATCAAACGAAACTCGTCGTGGTCATTTTGTCTGATATTCATCACTGATCAAGATGAGAGCTTATCGAGTCTGGCCAGCAGAGCAAGTATGTAATCGAAGTTTTTTGATTCCTTCATTTTCCTTTGCATATTTAGGATCAATTTAGGGATCTTTGTTACACCCCTTTCCCCGGTAGAAACAAAACATTCCCTCTAACGTTCAGATAATAAATTAATAATTATCCTGTCAGGGTTTGAGTTAGAAATGCAGATTGCGTTGGAAATACAAATTTACAAATTGTTTCTATCCCAAACTAGATAATTACTTATTTGTTTTTTAAAACCTGGCGCATGTGGTTTTTATATAAACACTTTAAGAATTAGTGAGTCCCGATTTCGGACGTGACCTGTACCCGTTCAAAAACACAAAACGGCCCGGGAAATTTATTTAAATCAGGCTGTAGTTCAGCGTATACCAATTGTTATTTGTATACCTGGCATCTGACTTAGTATACACTTAGGTATTATAGTATACTCGGTTAAACATCACTGTAATTAAAGGTTATTCCAAATAGGTAATTTATGTTATTATTGGGCAAAATCTGGGACAAATTATTTGTTTTGTATATTGAGTATAAACTTATCTCATAGCAGAGAGATTTCATTTCTTCGTTACCCCTTTCGCCAGTTTAAGCACCAATGCGCTCATAATTTACTGCGGCAAAGTCTATTAGAACCAGACCATTTCATTTCGTAGAATCGCGCCGTGTATTTAACTATTCTGCCCAACAAAACGTAATTTAACGGTAAAAGATGAAAACAACCATTCTGAACAACTCACTAACTGGACCAATATTCAGTAAATATGGTGTAATGAGTACGGCACTGTCAATAGCGGTGTTTGTTTTACCTTGAGTTCGATTGTACCCATAGCGTTCGTGGGAGTTGTATCCGGGGGTTCGAAGAAGGCCCTCTGGAATAATTTTACGAAATCTTTTATTTACCCATCTTTTTACACATGTGAAAATTCTCCTGCAGATATGTTTAATTTGAAATTCGTGATATGGCGCACGTATTTTATTGTAACAATTTACAGACGTTTTCTGTATATCTCTCTGAAAATAATTATTTTCTTTGCAAATTATGGTTTGTACTCGCTCATGTAACTCATCTCTTAAAATTTGTGGCCGTGGATGGATAAATCGTTTGTAATTTTTGTGCGAAATCTGTGACAAATTATTCTTTTTGTATATTGAGTATGAACTTATCTTGTAGCAGTAAGATTGCTTTCCTTCGTTCGTTTTCTCCTGTTTAAGCACCAATGCGCACATATAAATTTTTAATGGCAAAGTATGTAGGAACCAGACCATTTCAAATTTCGTATAATTGCCCCATCGATTTAACTATTCTGCCCAACAAAACCGTAATTTGGCGTTAAAAGATAGCAACAATCATTCGGAACAACCCGTTACCTAAAGCAATATTCTCTGTTGTGTCCTATAGTCTGATGTGGAGATGTACCGATGTATCGGTATCGGCAGTATCGGCCGATTTTTTGACATTAGTATTGTATCGGTATCGGCTAAATGTATACCGATATTTCCGATATATTTAGCTTTTATATGATCAAAAATGTTTTAAAATTAGGTGTATCTGAACTATGAGCCATGTACGTCCCCACCCTCGCGAGTATAAACGGGATTCTGACTTATTTTTAGCTATTTCAGCAAAACTAGTTAATTCGGATATTTCGCTGCCAAAATTTTATATTGACATTTTTAATATTACATGCAATTAGAAAGAAATTTGAAAATTAGTGAATTTTGGAATATGTAAAATACAAAATACGACGTTGTGCTATGAGTTTTCTAATCGAAGGCCGAGATCATTAGCGTCAGTTTACAATGCACTCAAACCAATTAACGCGTCCCGATCGCAAACATCAATTTCTTTTCATGTGATATATTTATTTTTTAATCTTAAATGATGTGTATTATGAATATG